TTTAACCCTCTATCTAAAAATCACTTATTCTTTCCTTAAATTCTTTCTAATATATTCAAAATAATTCTCAAGTGTATTTTATCTAGAAGCCCATATATTCTATTGATATGCTATAAATATTTTATATAATGTATTATGTTATTATTTCTCCACTTCTGCTTTAACTCCCAATTCTATACAGATTTTACAATGATCAGACACCTCAGTAAAATATAGTTATTTTTGAGCGCTGATTTAGAAAAAACTAGAATCTCATCGGTTTGGATTATCTAGCATTTCCACAAATCTTTTGTAAGTGTAATCAGTCCAATTCTTTATATTTTAAAAATTTTGAACATGAACTTTTTTGAATTAAAATCTCCACAGAGAATTACCATTTGTTTGTCCTGAGAATACATATTTATTATCACTAAATTACAACACTAATTTCTAGCAATTACCATGACCACACAAACCTCACTATTGAACACATTTAACCTTTCAGTAATATTAGTTAAAAATTAGATTATTTTTATGACAGCAATAATACTTTAAATTATTTTTAATACATCCCATTTTAGAAAATCAATTAAAATTTTATTGTTATTTAGAGAAAATACCATTATCAACGTCCAATTGTTTTATCATAATGTATATATTATTTTTTTTTGCTAATTCAATTTAGTTCTAAAGAAGATTAAAACAGGTCCACAATCATTTTGAAGACAGAACTATCTTGTTTTTTTTCTAACCTTTGAAATATATTTTTGTATTTCTGAATTGAAATCGAAGGTCAAATATTATGGATATGAGGGAGTAGGAAGTTTTAGAATAATTAATATTTCTTGGTTCCAGATAAGTTTTTAAGCGATCTATAACAGCTTTCACGAAATAATTTTTAAATATATTCTGTTTTATCTAGCTATAAATTAATTTTTCCGTTTTTATTTCAAGTTATTTGTAAGTTTTAGCAATAGGGAAAGAGCCTTGTATTTCTTTAGTTATCAAAAGAGCTTATGATTTTGAATGAAACGATTCAGCATTTATAATTTACTATTTATCAGAAATTAAATTCAATTGATATAAGAAGAATTTTATATTTCTACGATCGATACAATTAAAATGCTGCCTGCAAATTTATAGAAATTGTAACTAAATTCCAATATATTTATAATGAGAGAAAGAGTCTTTAAGATATTATTAAAAGTGTCAGATAGAGACCACTATCCTGAATTTAAAATGTAGTATTCGTTGATAGAAAATATAATTGAGTTTGATTTAGATTCATTCAGGATAGCTTTGCAATAATATTTCTTTCTTTTAACAGCTCCTCAAATCGCAAAGTTTTTTAATATCATTTTATTTCTAAATATTGAGAAGCTTTATTCAAATATTTTAATGTTTGAAATTTATCTGGGAATTATCCAGAACTGAGTTCATTCCTGTTTTAATCAAATCTGTTCTAATTGCTCATCTGGTTTTGTTCAATTTCTAAACTCCACTAAACTATTAATTAGCTTATTTCATTTTCTGCTACAATTGTTCTTGAATTAATTTAAGCTGAATTTTCGGCACACCTGATTATAGGTCTCCCAATCTTCATATCTTTGAGATAGTAGTTGTTTAAGGATATTATTTTATGTGAATTCATTCTGATAATATTCTTGATTTTTTATCCCTGTTTCAAGGTTTTGATTACATTTCAATTACATCAATCTTGCACTTTCATCATCCTTTTGGCAGGAGGAGGAAACACTTCTTTTGCTGTAAATTCAGAGCCACAGTATAACTTAATTAACAATAAAAATCAATATCTTATGATCATTTGTTATGAGAGGCTTATTTTATTCAAAATCAGTTCCATAATTCCTTCAGTCATTATTTAAATAGATATCCTGTTTATCGAATGGAGCAGACCTTATTCCATATAGCCAATTATCTTAAGATCTTTGAACAAATAAAATCCTTTTCTTTGAATTTACCATATTTCATAATTAAGTATCAGTTTCAAAATATATTTAACTGACTATAATTACTTAACAGTAAACACTATCTACTTTAAAACAGTTCTAGATATAATAAATTGTAATATGTCCCTGACAATTTAATTTAGTTTTAATGAATACTTTTGTAAGTAAGCTAAATCAAATATATATTTAATTTACGAAATGGGCGTCTTATACCTCAGAAATTCCTTTATGATGCTCGTTATTGAAAATTAACAATAGCAATTTCTAAAATCACCTAAAATTCATTTAGTGTTGATAAGTTATCAGCATATTGTTTAACTTATTTAGGAACGGTACTAGTTTGCAAATATTTACACATATGACTGGCAAGTATATAAACAAAATGGTTTTACATCGAAAGATGTACATTTTCTAAGGTGCAGTAATATCTTGTTAAAATTAAAATTTTTCTCGATGGACTGCTTTTAAACCTACTCCAAAGTTGAGATTGTCTGTCATAAAAGAGAAAATTTAGAGATTAAATAAAACAAAGATATCTAAATTCAGCTAAATTTTAACCACACTAATCCGCAGAAATTTATGAATAGATGTTAGATGAAGAGCCTTAAACTTTAATCTGTAGATAATCATGCATTTACCATAATAATTCTGATATTTAAGGTTTTCATGACATTTGCTCTGCTATGGGTTTGGGTTTTGGGTTTGGGTTT